ATAGTCAGATGGATAAAACATTAGATTGAGATTCAGAATATGGAGACTAATAGTGAAAGGCATTAAGTGTGTGACCTTGTTAACATCATTTAACTCTTATTATTTGTGCTTATTTTGTATAAATAGTACTGTTCCATTTCCAGATTATAAGGTTATATATAGGCAAGTACAGACTTAGGAAAATATGCTACATGCAGATTGTTTTAGCTCTTTGGAAGAAAGTGGCATAGGTATCTAGGCACTTAAAATGTGTTTTTTTTTTAATGTTTAGAGATGACTTTAAAGTTATTTTAGTATTGACTATTGATTTTTAGGGTATGAAAATCCCTAAATTTATGCATGTGAATATAAACTACATGAGATTTCTCTTAAATTTTGAAATGCCTCTGAAATATTAATATAAAGAAGGGTGAACTATTGACTAAATATTTGTATCAAGGCACCTGCATCAGAGCCATGAGAACACATAGTGATGAAATAAGAATAGAATGGGCTATAGTATATGTGATGTGTTCCCTTTTTCAATTCAAGAGGCTGTTTTTGTCAGCCAACATTTTTTGATTTTAACACATACAATTTTAAAGATATATATTTTTATTGATTTCAGAGAGGAAGGGAGGGGGAAAGAGAGATAGAAACATCAATGATGAGAGAGAATCATTGACTGGCGGCCTCCTGCACACCCCATACTAGGGATTGGGCCCACAACCCAGACATATGCCCTCACTAGGAATCAAACATTGACCTCCTGGTTCATAGGTCGACACTCAACCACTGGCCAACACCCGCCAGGCAAGATTTTGTTGTTGTTGTTGGCTGTGGAGAAAAATACAAGCATTTGGAGATAACTAGATAGAAGAGTGATACTGGTTAATTGGAAAAGGTCAAATTCAGATTTTCTAGAACTAATAATTTTAAAAGCTAGTAAAACTAATTGAACTTACAGTGTGATATAAGATAGATTATTGTCCTAAATAAAGCAATATAAAACAATATATGGATGGATGATCATAAGAAGATAGATAGTATTTCTTTTCCATAATGGCAGGCTTATTGTCAAGTGATAACTAGAAATCTGGATTAGCAGGTTTCATTCTTGACTCTACCACTTTAGAAAACTGTCTTAATTTTACTGTGTCTTCATTTCCACATATACCATATACTCTGTTGCTTCATTTACTTACCTACCACTCATTTTCCTACCAATCTGGCTTTTCTCTTTCACTTCACTGAATAAATGGTTCTCTGCGTGGCTAATATCTCTCTTATTTAAGCAAGTATTTGTGATTATCAAATACAAGAGTGTAATGGACAAGGTGGTTAATTCTCCAATATCTATTTCATACCAGGCTATAATCTGAGCTAACCATGATTGTTTCTTCCTCCTGGCCAGTGATACATTCCTTGGTTCAGCAATGTCCAATGCTAGAAAGCTTCTGAGAGAAAAAAAATTCCTTTCTCCTAAGAGGACACCACAGGAATAAATGCTCTTCCTCATCTGGAAATGATGAGTGTAACTGCTACTGCTACAGCACATGCAGCTATCTTGAGACTAAAGCCTACCTAAAGACCTGACAGATGAAAAGGCTTGAACCCAATGTGTATTTGATACTATATAAGCTATATAGGGTTATTACAAAAATGCAGAAGCCATTATTTCCTCAAGTATTATACTGTCTGCATCTGGTCTTATTGGTAATATACATGTAGATAAGAAAAACTACAGCCTGGCTATAGTGGTTGAGCACCAACCCATGAACCAAGAGGTTCCTGGTTAGCTTCCTGGTCGGTGCACATGCATGGGTTGTGGGCTAGATTCCCAGTAGTGGGTGTAAGGGAGGCAGCTGATGGATGTTTCTATATCTCTATTCCTCTCCATTCCTCTTGCTAAAATCAATAACTACAAAATAATTGGCAATGTATATTTATCAGTTTGTCTTCATTAGAGTAAGGTGGGATGATGAAGACAAGATTTTATAAAGTCAATCTTGAAAGATGGTTTGGGTTTAGATTAATACAATAAGAAGTGGAAATTACAATATTCCGGGAAGGGGGATTTATTCTGAGCCTTTGAATGAAGGAAGGACAAAATTTGCTAGTGAATTAGAATAGCTAGAAAATGAGTTTGATTGACACAGCTTACAGCTTATAATTGGGTCTATTAAGTAAACTGGAAATAGGCAGATTAAGAAGAGAAAAGGTATTCAAACTTAATTTTCAATATTACATGCACAGGGACATTACAATAAAAAAAAGTGAATACCCCCAAAATAGTGAGATTTGAGAGCTTACATATCATCTTTTTTTAAAATATATTTTTATTTTTTAAATATATTTTTACTGATTTCAAAGAAGTAGGAAGAGGGAGAGATAGAAACATCAACGATGAGAGAATATCATTGACCAGCTGCCTCCTGCACTCCCCACACTGGGGATCAAACCCACAACCCGGGCATATGCCCTGAATGGGAATCGAACCATGACCTCCTGGATCATCGGTCAGTGCTCAACCACTGAGCCACGCCGACTGGGCTTATATATCATCTAAACGGGGCGGGGGGGGAACGGGGGGGGAAGTGTGGGGGATGTAGGCCACTAAGGGAGAATAAATGATTTATAGGAAAGATGAATTGGCCATTTAAAATATAGAAAAATATGATACTTTATTACAAAGTTTGTCTGGTGTGCTGTCCACTTCTCTCCTCTCCTGTGATAAAAGTTAGTCTTTCCTAGTTGAAATTTCTGGGGAGGGGTTCTGTGATAATTGAATTCATTTTGGAGGATCTGTTTATCGGCAGATAAGGAGGGTTCAAAGAAGGTCTCTCCCTTTATTTGCTATTTTCCAAGTGTCTTTAGCTCAAAATAATCCTTATGACAAAGGGATTTATTGTAGGGTGGCATATTCTGCCACTCTTCACAGCTAAGAAAAAAAATCAGGCTGGAAAGTTCTCTACTACAAAAACTAGTGTTGACTGTCTTTATGCTGTCTGGTCATTTCATTGTTTAGAAGGAAGATACTTATGAAAGATTTTATATCAAGAGGCACAATAATTGCACTCTTTAATTGAACCAATATGAGTATTTTGTAATTGATCAATTATTTTCTTATGAATGAGAAATCTTGTGAGTTTGAACACTAATTTGCATCCTAATATCCCACATGCCTTCATTCTCTTTAGGATTTTTTCTTTGATAAGGGTGACAGTTGGCTTTAAAGAGGTTATAATTTCACCTGCAATGAAGTGAAATCTTATTACCAGTTCCAACTCTCTGCAACTTGGGTCTAATAAGACCATGAGAAACAATTTTAAAGTACTATATCTCCTGCAATTTGGGGAGTTTTAATTAATTTGATTTTCTCTTTTTAAAAAAATGTTTTGGACTCTGATAGCTACTTGGAAAAGGTTTATCAATTCATATTATTGTTAGATTTTTCATGAATTTCTTAATATTGATCCTATCTTACCTCTAGTGGTTGAATCTTTGCAGCAGACTGTATGATAATTAACTCAGAACAGAATTGCCTGATAGATAAGAGCTGGGTTTTCAAAACAAAGCCCCAGCCAATACATCCAAGTTTGATTCATATAAATGAATATCATTTATGAAATTGACATTTTACCATATCAATAATGAATGGACAGTGCTAGATGCTCCAAATATAGTTTTAATCTTCCTTGTGGTTCTCATGGATTTTTTTTTTGTATTGGGAAAATGATTATATGACCAGAGTTCATGGGTGTTAAAACAAACCCAAACAAATAATAACCAAACATTTTCCATTGGTTTCCAAGGAAATGTGTGTGTGTGTTTAAAGTATTGCCAAGCAACTACCAATTTAATTGATTCATTGTTCAAAGTTAATTGGAATAGAAAAATATGGCAGTTTTTTTCCTCTTTTTAGTCATTGACAGCAAACACATGTAATAGAAAGAGATAGTTGTATCTTGTAGCTCTGTATTTTCCCTGTTTAACTGGTCTGATAACAGAGACCTTCTCTGACCAATTTGAACTGTCATCCTCAAAAATAAAAACAGCGAGTTGTTTTATTGGAAATTGAGTTTATTTGGTAATAGCAGAGAGTTGCAATTTGGGACAAGCAAGCTCAGGTGAACCATAGGCAAGTCCAAAGAGACAAAGGGAAGGTTAGCTTTTGTTAGGTTTTAGGAGGAAATTGGGGAGGGTTGTTCATTGGAGAACAAGAGTTCAAGGTTGTGGTGGTTTTTCATAGATCTGCAAGGGGTGGTTAATGTGTTGCTGCTGGGGCAAGGAGATCTTCCTTTTTATAAAAGCAGGAGCTAGAATCCTAAGTGAAAAATGCCCTCCCTTACCGGTTTTGTCGGTTGCAAGAAGTGGTACTTGCATGAGAGCTCCCCCTACAGGGCTTTTCAACTCCATTTTAAAGGAGGTTTCCTTTAGCAGTATATTTATTTTCACACCCCTTTCCAACATATTTAACTCGATGAGAACATTCATTGTGTATTTCTTGGACAATATAATTTTATAAATATCAGCATGATTTTAAAAAATTCTTAGACTATCTTTGTGGCCATCTTACGGTATCCACATACTCCCTTATGCAGAATGTTCATATTATACTACATTATTAAAAATGGCATATCTTTTGCTGTTATCTCATTGTCTGCACTCTCTTGGTTTGGTGCTCATCTAGATTTTGATTGAAGCTTGCTTAAGGACAAGTAAGATGTCTGCTTAATTTTATCTAAAAGAAAGTTGGAGTATTTAGGACAGTGTTTTATTCATTTGGTAAAAATAAGTGCTAAAGTACTTTTTTATTGGTTTTATTTCTCATGGCACACATATTTCAGCCTACTGACAATGTCTACTACTTTTCATTTACTTGTATTTGGAAACTCCGTGCTGTAATTGTAGATTTGTCTCCAGAAGCCAAGTCTTTTCTTCATTGAAAATGACCCATTCCTGTTGATTGCCATTTCTAAATACTTATCAGGATTTTGTTTTGTTTTTTTCTCTTATAGCCAGCAGTCACCAGAGGACCTTGCCCGAGTCCCTGCCAACTCCACTAGCAATATCTTGAATAGGCTACTGGTCAGTTATGATCCCAGGATAAGACCAAATTTCAAAGGTTTGTTTTTTCCCCCCTCAAATATCTTCTTCTTTGTAACTTAAAAAAATTAATTTTATATATGAAATCATTTAGTTATGATGTTAAAAACAAGATTGCAAATTGATAAGTCCCGTCATGATCTTAGATTCAGAGTAATGCCACGCATGTTCAAAAATAGGCAAAATAATAATTCTAATAGTTTTATATGCTTTCCAGTTTGTATAAAAAGGTATATTGTGAATTAACAGGCTAACCTCTGTAATGGATTTTCTGAGTACTTAGTATTCTTAACCTTATGATTCAAAATTTAGGCTCTGGCTACAGAGCTGGCTTTCATTCACAGACATCAAAATTATAGTTTGTAGGAAAGTGGCCATATACTTATATAGGAATAGAGAAATGTTCTGATTTGTATTTAGGTTATCTTTTTACGTTTTCTAGCCTTTCACACTGATAAAACATTTTTTCCTCTGCTCTTTTGCTGAAAAAAAAAGATGGAAGATGGTCATATGGGTTTTAAAACCACAGTAACTTGTGTGCATAATAGTGAAGCATGTATTTAGCCTCTGAAATATTTAAAAGACTGTTTTCTACAACACAGATTGATTTTATTCCAACAAAATACTACTCTTTATCACACCTTCCAAGAAGAAAATTCCTACTCGCTATGAAAGTCATGAGAAGATTGTATAGGGAAGCAAACTTTTTTTTTTCTTTTTCTTGCTTTAATTTTTACTTGTTTGTCCTCTTGATGAGTTAGAAAAAGAAATATGAAAAAAATCTCCTCTGGAAAACTGTAATCCTAAGGACAGGTATTAATGTAGATCAGATTAACAGTATAAAGCTTGATTTTTTTTTTCCTTCATAGAAAAAATGTCTGCAGCTGCTTCTAGTCAACTGAAGTTATACAACTATGTTGTAAAAACAGGGTTTTTTGTTCATTACCAGAACCGATTCAGTTACTTTCAACAACAGCCATGGCCTGGATTGTCACATGTCTAGCATATATTGATTCACCACCTGTTTTTCATCAGTCAGTGGTTATGTGGCTGAAAGGCTAAATTCACATTTTCCCTTTGTTAGCCCAACCAGCAGCCCACAACGAGTAAAGAAAAAAGAAAGCAAGAAAGAAATTTGCAACATTATACCTTAGTTCTCACTCCATGAACTTTCAAATTATTTTCTAAAAGGTCAGGCAAAAATCTTTATAATGACTCTTATATGTCTGATTAATTTTGCAATTGCATGAATTAGAAAGAAAAGTATAGTAAATGTAAGCGAAATCTATTGAATATTGCTTACCAAGGCAAGTAAGAACTTCAGATGATTATACAAATTTAAAAAAAGTATACCATATTTTTAAATGATGTTTTGTAAATAATAATTTACTTTTTCTTAAAGTAAATGCATCAACCCAATTTAAACATTTTTTAAAGGTAAATGTATTTTCTCAGTCTCTACAATTTAATAGATAAATATTTCTGAGAAAATAACATTATAAAATACAACTTAACTCATTTTTTAATTGCGTTATGATCCCTATTTAGAAAAATAAGTTAATAGTAATTGTGAACATGGTATACTGAGACCACTGATTTACAATTTTACATCACATGTGGGTTGGGAAAAATATAAAAAACAAATACATAAACAATGAAATATGTAGATTCTGACATAAAGCTTTTTTACAGCTACTAAATATATCTTTAATTTTTATTCACAGGCATTCCTGTTGATGTAGTAGTAAACATTTTTATCAACAGTTTTGGATCCATTCAAGAGACAACAATGGTAATATCACAGTTAATTTAATATTTTAATTATCAAAATTTAAACTAGAGCATAGTGAAAGTAATATTAAAACTGAAAAATATTGTGTAACTCTAAGGAAAAATGCATGCTCACTCCTGGTATAAAATAATCCAGTTCCAAGGTTTTGTTAAGTTAGTGATTTCAGTGCCTATGATATTTTGCAATTCAAATTTAGCCTTAATACTGCATTGGAAAAATTACCATACTCACTCTGAACAATTAATTGGATGCCACATGGGAAAAAAAAGGATTTATGCAATTAATACCCTGAGACAACATTTCCTCCCCAATATGCGAAGATGTATGAGCATTCACAAATATTTGATTGTTGACAGGTTCTTTCTTCCAGTTTCTTGGGGAGAATCTTTGTTTTCTCTGTTGTGCTAATTTTGTGATGTGTGGAGCAGAGAATTATAAAAAGCAAAATTGATTTTCATAAAATATGGCATGGAGCTCCCTGAAAAGATTGTCACCTAGGGAAGAGGGAGATGAGTGGGAAGGAGGGAGAGGAGGACCCTGTCTTGAAGGAACAAAAAAGAAAGATATCAGGGAATAACTACTATTCCTGATGAATTAAACTTTAGAGTCAAAGACAGCTATCCAGTGAGATTAAATTTCCTGAGTGATCTATGATGTGATTACCCCTCAGCTTCTCTAAACAGATTCAATAATATTGACATGCTTTTTGATGTTTTAGATTCTAGATTTGTGCTCTTTTTTTTTAAAAAAAAAAAACAACAACTACATGCTAAAATTATACTTCAGGTGGGAGAAAAAAGGCACAGGTTGTGTGTGTGTGTGTGTGTGTGTGTGTGTGTGTGTGTGTTTAATAAAAAAAGACTTATATTTTTATTAAGTCATAAGGTGTGGATTGAAAGCCTAATAATAATGGTTACAGCACAGTATACTTATTCAGGGAATATCTCAGACTAGAGAACGAATAATTGAAACTATTCCTTTATTCCTAGTAGCAGCTTGGTGTGTTACAAAAGGAATTGTATATTGCATTTACATTATAATGCCTATTTTTATCTCTAATTGTGATGAGAATGCCATGTATTTATTTTTATACTAGTAAAAGCATGTGTTTAGCCTCTGAATAATTGATTTTCTTAGACAATGTGTAAATATTTTTAGAGAAGTATTTAAAAGACAATTTTTTTTTAAAGAAAGGATCATTCTTTCTTTTTCTTTTTTTTTTTTAAATATATTTTATTGATTTTTTACAGAGAGGAAGGGAGAGAGATAGAGAGTTAGAAACATCGATGAGAGAGAAACATTGATCAGCTGCCTCCTGCACATCTCCTACTGGGGTATGTGCCCGCAACCATGGTACATGCCCTTGACCGGAATGGAACCTGGGACCCTTCAGTCCGCAGGCCAACGCTCTGTCCACTGAGCCAAACCGGTTTTGGCTTAAAATACAACTTTGGAATCAAGTCCAAAATTGACTTTCAGTGACGTTTTAGTTCACCTAAATGATATAGACATACAGTATAGATCAATAGATGACAGCTCTGTAATATAATGTGCAGTACCACATATCACTACATAGAGATAAGTATAGCACTCATTAATTCAATATATGATTAGTCTATCAAAGCACTTTACTCTTCAAGAGCAAGAGCTGTCATTTTTCTCACAGGGAAACTTTAAGGGGAGTTATTTGGTCTCCACACTCTACTCTGTACAGTTTTATTTTTCACTAGTGTCTTGGTGCACGATTTGTGCACATTGAAAGGAAATTAGTTAGAAGAAATATTTTAATATTGCTATTCGCCCTTTCTCTATAATAGAAGTGTCAACCATTTTGTCCTTTGCATAGACGCATCACAGTAGCTAGCCCAAAATATTTATTGCTGGGACCAAATTCAAGCAATTCTCCTATGGAGTCTTTGTTCCTACTATTTATCCCTAATCTCCATCTATCTTCTAATTAGCGTCTTTTAAGGCTACTCTGACTCACTTTGTGCCCTCTTTTCAATCCAAGTCTTTCATTTCTAGCATTTATTTGTTAATGTAAGCTGATAGCTTCTTTTTGTGTGTGTATTCTTTTTATTCTCTAATGGACTACAAAGCTCTTAAAGTCAGAAATAATGCAGTCTACTTCATTTTCCATAAGATACAGATGACAATAGTCACTCAATAAATAGTGAACACATAAATAAAATATCTTGTACTAGTTAATGTTGCTTGAGTAGTTGGATAAATAAATTCTGCTATTTGCCTAGCACCAAGTGAATTCATGTAGCAATAAAACAATTGACAGAAAAATTTTAAACAATAGATCCATGTAGAACATTTGTTTGGTTAAATAACAGACTAAATAATGTCACTATTTTATAGTATTCATTTTGGAAATTTTAGAGGCCTTTACTTAGAGAATAAAATTATTTTTATTTGTTATTTCTTTTGCTAAAATAATCTAGATGAAAACCAAACTGCCTTTCAATTTATGTTGTGTAGACAGTCTAAAGGTTCAGAATAAGAACCATCCTCATCAAGTAGACTTATTTTACCATAATTATTTTTTGCTTTTAGCAATGCTTATTTCAGACATCCCTACAAAAAAACAATATTATATAGAGATGTCTTTTTTGAAAGTATATTTTTATCAATTTCAGAAAGGAAGGGAGAGGGAGAGAGAGAGAGAGAAACATCAATGAGCACATAGAATAATTGATTGGCTGCCTCCTGCACACCACACACTGGGGATAGAGCCCAAAACCTGAACATGTGCCCTGACCTGAATTGAACCGTGACCTCCTGGTTCATAGGTCCACACTTAATCACTGAGCCACACCAGCCAGGCTATAGAGATGTTTTTGAGGCTGTCATATTTTATAGATTTGCTCAATCTTTTAAAAAACAAATGGTCTGAGATTTGTTGCTTAATAGTTAGGATAGGCATAAGCTATTATATAGAGGCTAGAGACCCTTTCACTGTCCCGGAGCCCTAAGGGGATGTCCGACTGCAGTTTATGCCTGCTCCCTCTAGGCCTAAGCCGCAGTCGGACATCTTTAGTGCCACTGCGCTCACCAGAGGTCAGCCCAGCTTGTGGCAGAGCGGCATTCCCCCTGTGGGAGTGCACTGACCACCTGCATTGAGCATCTGCCCCCTGGTGGTCAGTACACATCATAGCGACCAGTTGTTCCGCCGTTCAGTTGATTTGCATATTACCCTTTTATTGTATAGGACTAGAGGCTCAGTGCACGGGTAGGATCCCTAGGCCTAGCCTGCGATCAGGGCCATCTTCCACCAGTTCACCAGTCCCCAGTCCCACCCCGCCACCACCTACCGTGGTTCCCCGATCGCCATCCGGCAATTGGAGCCTGTGGGTCAGGGGAAAGGGATCGAGAGGTGGTCAATGCACCTCATAGCGACTGGTTGAGCGGTCGTTGTGGTTGTTATGCCATTGTGGTCACTGAGCTTTTATTATATAGGATAGTTAACATTAAGATATCTTCTAAGGAGAAAAAATGAATTTAAGATAAAACTTCTTCATTACCTATTATAAACACTTGTCAATAGAGATGGCTTAGGAGAGTAACTAAAAAGTTATAATTAAATGGATGAGAGTTATATTATGAGAGGATATTCTTTTTTCTTCCAATCATCTAGGATGAGCTTACTTTTTTTTTTTTTTAGTCCTTGAGGTATAGTTAACAAATAAAATTGTAAGATATTTAAAGTGTACATGATGATTTGATGTACATCTACATTGTGAAATGATTCCTCCTCCCATCAAATCAACACATCCATCATATATGTGAGACCATTTATGTTCTACTCTCTCAGCAAATTTTAACTCTCTCAGCAGATTTTAATTAGACGATACAGAGTTATAAACTGTAGTTACCATGTTATATTCAGATATTATTCATTTTATAACTAAAATAAAGTTTATACATTTTATCAAGCTCTCCATATTTCCCACATCTCTAAGACCCTTTGCAATAGCATGGATGGACCTAGAGAGTATTATATTAAGTGAAATAAGCCAGTCAGAGAAAGACAAATACTATATGGTTTCACTTATATGTGGCATCTAATGAAGAAAATAAACTAACAAGCAAAATAGAAACAGACATATAGATACGTAATACAGACTGACAGCTGTGGACCAGGGTGTAAAAGGTGAAGTGATTAAGCAAACAAACAAACAAACAAACAATCCAGGCACAGACGGTGTGGCTCAGTGGTCAAGTATCGATCTATGAACCAAGATGTCATGGTTCAATTCCCGGTCAGGGCACATGCCCAGGTTGTGGGCTCAATCTCCAGTGGGGGTGTGCAGAAGGAAGCTGACCAATGATACTCTCTCATCGTTGATGTTTCTATCTCTCTCTCCTCCCTTCCTCGCTGAAATCAATAAAAATATATTTTAAGAAAGACAAAACAAACACATACAGCAGTATGGTGATTGCCAGAGGGAAAGTGGGGTGGGGGAGGTAGAAGAGCACAAAGGGGGCATAAATGGTGGCAGGAAGAGATTTGACTTTGGGTGGTGCGCACATGATACAGGATGCAGATGATGTGTTATAGAGTGGAGCACTTGAAACCTGTATGGTTTTATTAGCCAATGTCACCCCAATTCTATATAATAAAAGCCTAATATGCAAATTGTCCCCTCGGGTGGTTGTTCGACCTGGATACTGGGGGTTCGACCAGGAGACTGGGAGTTCGACTGCTTGCTATGACATGCACTGACCACCAGAGGGCGGAGTGGAACATGGTCGGTGTCAGCGATGTGGCACTGGCAGCGGGAGGCAGTGGAGGTGCTGCTGGCCCCAATAGGCCCCAATGAGAGCAGGACCACAAAAGGATGGTGAAACAGGTGAACGTGTGGCACCAGACCAAGGCAGGTATGAGTGGGAGCCCGATCATCCTGCAGTGGCAACCAGCGTTGGCAGCAGGGGCAGGGCCGTCACCCAGCTCTGAGGTGCTGAGGAAGCTGGGCGGGGGCCTGGCCCCGATC